TTTTTTTTTTTTTTTGGTACCGGGGATTGAACTTGGGTCCTTGCACTTGCAAGGCAGGCCACCGAACCATTGAGCTAAATCCCTGGCCCCACTTTGCTTGATTTTGTGTGATTTAAATATATCCAAGTATGTAGTTGATACAGCTGATACATTTTTAATTAATTGTTTTGAAGGAAATTTTTTCCTGTTAAGTGATATGCCAGTCATTTCTTCTCCAGATAACTTCTTTAATATATCTTTCTCAGAAAAATAATCTGGAGATACTTAATTTCTAATAAGCACTAGTCCCCCACAATAATAAACCCAAGCTATTTGGCAGAGAAGTTTAGACTTTACAGTGCAACAGCTTAGACGAGGAATGGTTTTTCACCAGGTAGATTCTTAAGCTGTGTGTAGTGGCTACCCACTTCTGACTTCTTCAGATACTTTCTAGGATGGGCTCGAGTGATGATAAAGACAGCCTTTGACATATATTAGGGAAGCAGGGTCAGGGCAAGGGGCAAGGAGCTGCCATCTGCTGGTTTGACAGAGAGCCCTTTTTTTACACACACTCACCTGTTGATCTAGCATGAGATGAACAAACAAAAATTTCAAAGTGGAGATAAGCTCTTAGCAGATGATGTTGCCATGTTTTCAAAAAACACTACTCCATTGTACAAATTAAATGAGCCAGGTCCTCTGACAGGATTGGTTTTTCTGGCTTAGTTAAACAGGGAGATGTCCAAGGTCTTAGAGAAGAGCACTGTGACATGTAGAGAGGATTGCCCTGGTTGCTCTATCCAGGCTAAGCTACTGAGATACTCAGGAACAACTTTCTCTATGTCTGGATGCTGCTGCCCTCTCCTCTCCCTCTCTTCCTACCTCATCCACTCTCCCTGCCTTTCTTCTTCCCTCTCTCCCTTTCATCTGTACGGGAACTGAACACAGGGCTCTTGCCACTGAACTACATCCTCAACTCTTTATTTTTTGCTTGAGGCAGAGTCTTGCTAAGTTGCTCAAGCTGGCCTCAAACTCATGAGCTTCCTGCCTGACCCTCTTGAATAGCTGAAGTTACATGTGTGTACTACCACATCTGGTGCTCACTTAGTTTTGACTCTTCAAGTCATATACCCTGTTAAACTACATTGGTTGACTTCTTGGTGTGACAAGAATTGCTTTTAGGGTGTGACTTCATGGTTTCTTTTTACTGCTCAGGAGTCTGTTCCTTCGTTGCCACAGTCACCTCCTAGAGAGATGCCTTCCAGAGTATTTCACCAGTATAGCAACAACATCTCCACCCTGGATGTGCATTGCCTCCCACAGCTCCAGGATAAGGCCTCCCCACCTCCATCACCTCCCATTGCATTTCCTCCTGCCTTTGAAGCAGCCCAAGTTGAGGCCAAGCCTGATGAGCTCAAGGTGACCGTCAAGCTAAAGCCTAGGCTCAGGACTGTCCACGGCAGCTTTGATGATTGTAGGCCACTGAACAAAAAGTGGAGAGGAATGAAATGGAAGAAGTGGAGCATTCATATTGTAATCCCCAAGGGGACATTTAAGCCACCCTGTGAGGATGAAATAGATGAGTTTCTTAAGAAACTGGGCACTTCTCTTAAACCTGACCCTGTGCCTAAAGACTATCGCAAGTGTTGCTTTTGTCACGAAGAAGGAGATGGGCTGACAGATGGACCAGCAAGGCTGCTCAACCTTGACTTGGATCTGTGGGTCCACTTGAATTGTGCTCTGTGGTCCACGGAGGTCTACGAGACTCAGGCTGGTGCCTTAATAAACGTAGAACTAGCTCTGAGGAGGGGCCTACAGATGAAATGTGTCTTCTGTCATAAGACAGGTGCCACCAGTGGATGTCACAGATTTCGGTGCACCAACATTTATCACTTTACTTGCGCCATTAAAGCACAATGCATGTTTTTTAAGGACAAAACTATGCTTTGCCCTATGCATAAACCAAAGGGAATCCATGAACAGGAATTAAGTTACTTTGCAGTCTTCAGGAGGGTCTATGTTCAACGAGATGAGGTGCGCCAGATTGCTAGCATCGTGCAGCGAGGAGAACGGGACCACACCTTTCGTGTAGGAAGCCTCATCTTCCACACGATTGGCCAGCTGCTCCCACAGCAGATGCAAGCGTTCCACTCTGCCAAGGCTCTCTTCCCTGTGGGCTACGAAGCCAGCCGGCTATATTGGAGCACACGCTATGCCAATAGGCGCTGCCGGTACCTGTGCTCTATTGAGGAGAAGGATGGGCGCCCAGTGTTTGTCATCAGGATCGTGGAGCAAGGCCATGAAGATCTGGTCTTAAGTGCCACATCACCCAAAGGTGAGATTTGCCACTTGTGTGTACTAGACAGTGTTTTTGTTTTGGGGGGTTTTTTGTACCGGGGATTGAACTTGGGACCTTGTGCATGCAAGGCAGGTGGCGGCACCACTGAGCTAAATCTCCGGCCCATAGAGAATATTTTTAAGTCAGTGTTTCTCCATTTTTTCTTGTGAGCATTTCATATTTTATAACAGCAAATGAGGATTTCTTATTTACAAATACAAATCTTAGCTTCTTTGTGTTATCACACCATGCTCTTCACTCTACAGTTTTCCAAATGTGTACTTGTTTGTTTTGAAGTGCTGGGGATTGAACCCAGGGCTTCCCAAGTCCCGGGCAAGTGGCTTACCCCTGAGCTACATCTGCAAACCCCCAACCCCTTTTAAAGACTGGTTTTTTGTTTGTTTGTTTGTTTTTTGTACTGGAGATCTAACTCGGGACTTTGTGCTTTCAGGACAGGTGCAGTGCCGCTGAGCTAAATCCCTGGCCCCTTAAAGTGTTACTTGGAGGCAGAGTCTCACCACATTGCCCATACTGGCCTTAGACTTTAGATTCTCCTACTTCAGCCTCCCAAGTAGCTGGGGCTACAGATGTGGATCACCATACCCAAGTGCTGTAGGGTCTTTAAACAATATCACAGTCAATATATGTTTGAACATAGGAGTTGATTTTTAAGTCTGATTTATAAGTTGCCTGTCATTTACTTTGGGGGCCCTCTTTTTCAGTTTGCAAATCTGTTTGTTAGTTTGAGACAGGGTATGTAGATCAGGCTAGACTTGAACTCACTAGCCTCGGTGGGCTTTGAACTTGGAGTAATCCTCCTGCATTAGCCTGCCAGTTATAGGCAGGCACCACCATGCTCAGCTGTCAGTTTGTAGAAGGCAGGAACTGTTGTCATTCATTGAAGCACATTGAGTTATCTCACGAGTGTAAGATAGTGTACAAGTTTAAAGCTGGGAATTAGACTTTTAATTTTGACTCCAGGATAAGTCTGCACTGGCATTTTTAATGATGCAGAAAACATGGAACAGCTGTTTGTTTGTTTGTTTGTTTGATCAAGGTGAGTTCGAGGCCAGCTTAGGCTACATAGACTTGCATAGTCATTGCAGGGCCAGTCTGAACTACATAGGCAAACCCTGTCTCAACAATGACCCCCACCCCCAAATTAAAAATTGAAGTTTTTTAAAAATGTGTAAAATGCTTTAAAGATGTTTCCAAAGAAAAAGTTTCCTATTTTAATGTATAGCTTAAGGGAAAGGAACACATCTACAGATATCACTGGTTGGACTAATCATTTTTAAAGCAAGTAGGCTTTTTAGCCATTAGGAAAATAACTTACATGAATTTCAGTTGTCTTAAAAACTAACTTTTTCACTTTTAATGTTTGATGTCCGTAGTGTGACATTATTTTCCCCAAAATTTCATAAGGTCTTAAAAATAAATAGCTGCCATTTAGTAAACAAATGTGTTGGGTTCCTGACCACGGGTTTTATTTGGAAACTAGTAAGTCTTTGGGAATAACAATTCTGCTCCCTCGGTTTGACACTGTATCTTGTTTTCCTGTTTAGCCTAAAGCAAGTTTATTATAAAGTTATTTTCTTGTCCACATGTAGGTGTTTGGGATAAGATTTTGGAGCCTGTTGCATGTGTGAGGAAAAAGTCTGAAATGCTCCAGCTTTTCCCTGCATATTTAAAAGGAGAAGACCTGTTTGGCTTAACTGTCTCTGCAGTGGCACGGATAGCTGAATCAGTGAGTGTTGTGGTCAAGATCAGAAATTGTGGTTGTCCCTAATTCTGTGTGACCTCTTCACCCCATGCTGTAACACTTGTGGCCCTGCTGGTACTGATCTGAACCTGCAGGGCAGGCAGGCAGGCATTGGCACTATGTGGGGACCTTGCCAGAGAGGCAGTGCACAGATTCAGGGTGAATGCAGACCAGATGCAGGACTCAGGCAGATAAGGAGATGCCTCTTCCGCCTGGCTGCCTGAAGTGCTCATGTGCTTGCATGAGTTGGGTGCCTTGCCTGACTCTGGTGTTTGTGGTCTCTGCTCGCCCTCCTCCTGGGGGGAGTTGGTCTCCAGAGGGCAGTGGAGTGCAGCAGCACTTGATAATGTCCTCTCCTACTTTGCCTAAGCCTGTTGGGCACTGAGTAACTGAACCATAGGCACATAGTACTTGTGAAAGCCATGTGACTATAAGACATTCTCAGGAAGAAAAACATCATTGATGTGTTTTGTTTTGTTTTTTGTTGGTTTTTTTGTTTTGTTTTGTTTTTTTGAGAAGCAGAGGAAACCCCAAAGCCACTGAGAGAAGGCTGATGAAGGCTGATTTCTTTCTTTGGACTAGTGCTGCCTAAATGATAAGCATCTTTTTTGACTGTAGAAAAGTACATTTCACAAGAAAGACCATCTAGAAAAGACCCTTAAGATACACGTTACTAGACAGGTATATGCCTTTGACATGGAGCGTGATCTCATATTGTCACAGTCACATTTGAAAGAAACAAGTGATCCAAAAAGAAACCATGAAAATGACTCCTTAATTTTAAAGTTCCAGGCACAGATAGGAAAGCAGGCAGTAGACCAGGTGAAAACTGTAAATTCCGAATCATTACACTCTCCATATTTATCAGATCCTGGAAGTCCACATGCATGGGCCTTGGTTGGCCATGGTGCTGTACCAGTCTTTCAGTCTTTTCTTCAGGGAGCATGTATTTGCTAGGGGTTGCCTAGCTTACTCACATAGATGAGGGTGCAGGCAGCCTGTGTTACATGAGTAAAAAAAAAACCTTTTGTTCTGGGGAAAACATCTCTGCATTGATTTCACATCGCACCATCTTGAGCCAGCCCCAGAGGTCTACAGTCTTGGCTGGGTGAATCACCTTTTCATGTATTTTGCTACTTTTCAGCTTCCTGGGGTTGAGGCATGTGAAAACTACACCTTCCGATATGGTCGGAATCCTCTCATGGAGCTGCCGCTTGCAGTCAACCCCACAGGTTGTGCCCGTTCCGAACCTAAAATGAGTGCCCATGTCAAGAGGTTTGTGTTAAGGTATTTTGTTTTAACTTCACATAGTACAGCCCAGGGTTTCTAAGCCTGTTTGTGGTTTTTGTGCCTGATTTGTCTGCCGCTTAAAAACCCTGCTGTCTCGGCTGTGTATGTGCCCCGACCACCTCAGAGGTCGAGAATGTGTCTCTGCTAGGCAGCTTTCCGTGTGTTTCTGTCAGGAAGACTTGAATCAGCCTGGCTTGGAGCATTAGTCAGAGGTATCTTCAGTTTTCCTTTTGTTTCCTGTCGCTATGCCATCATCTGCAGGCCGCACACCTTGAACAGCACCAGCACCTCAAAGTCATTTCAGAGCACGGTGACAGGAGAGCTGAATGCACCTTACAGTAAGCAGTTCGTCCACTCCAAGTCGTCGCAATACCGGAGAATGAAGACCGAATGGAAATCCAATGTGTATCTGGCCCGGTCTCGAATCCAGGTGAATGCTTGGCTTAGGACAAGGAAGGTCAGGGTAGAGGCTTAGAGATCTCAAGATGCCAGTAAGTCTCAGCACTGTGGCATCGAGGCTCAAATCTCTTAGTAGCACATGGGCTTTGGGAGACATACTGGAACCATAGATATACGCTTAAGAATTACGCTTAAGATATACGCTTAAGTATAAAAAAGACATAATGACATAGTTTTAAGTGGCAAGATTGACAAATTTTTAAATATCAGAAATAACATATTCCATAAAAAGTGTTGTTTGAGTTCAGGTGAACCCTCAAGCTTGGCTTTTGATGCCCAGGAAGTAGCAACACATTTGTATGAGAAGGAAAAGCTGCAGAGTTGTGTGCACTTTGCTCTCCTCTAGGGCCTGGGTCTGTATGCTGCTAGAGACATTGAGAAGCACACCATGGTCATCGAATACATCGGGACCATCATTCGGAATGAAGTCGCCAACAGGAAGGAGAAGCTGTATGAGTCCCAGGTGCGGCTTTGCTGAGATTATGTGAACTGGCTGCCCCACCCTGTCCCAAGAGTCCAGGCCAGATAGAAGCTGTGTTCCCTGGTCTCTCTCCTGTCCTTTTCTTTTTCCATTTGTTGCTTGCATAGATGTAATTGTTGACCCACAAACAGCCTGCTGGCCTGACGCCTGGCATTGGTGCCAGGTACTGGTAAAGGTCCCATGACGACGAGGAACACAGTGTCCCCAGGGAGTGTAATCAGGGCCACTGGCTACTGCTGCCCTCCTGCGGCAGAGGGCATTTCTGGCACACACTGGTGACTGCCCACTCTCTCTCTAGAACCGAGGTGTGTACATGTTCCGCATGGACAATGACCACGTCATCGATGCAACCCTCACAGGAGGGCCTGCAAGGTGAGGCAGGTACCCCAGGAGTGGGGTCAGAGCTGGCGGAGGGAAGGTGGAAGTGGGGGGAAAGTGTGCACCACAGCCTGGCTGTGAGTACGGAGCAGGCAGGTGAGTTTTTCCATGCTTGCCGTAAAGTTTGTGTTTGTTTTATTAAGGGGCAGTAAGATGTAATTAGCAAATAGTGTTTCCTACAGATGCAAAAGTTCAGAGTATTCCTTAAGTTGTTTCACAGTGACTTTGTTTTTTGATGTGGCGGCTGCAGGTACATCAACCATTCTTGTGCACCTAACTGTGTGGCGGAAGTGGTGACTTTTGAGAGAGGACACAAGATTATCATCAGCTCCAACCGGAGAATCCAGAAAGGAGAAGAGGTGAGGGGAAGGGGGGTTGACCCTGTTCTGTTGCACTTTCCTTCTTCATGCTGCCACCTGAGCTTCCGTTTCCCCACTGCTAGAAAAATTCTCCCTACTGTGTTTTTTTCACTCTGTCCTGTCTCATCCTTCAGGGGTCCAGGCACCACGTCCCCCGACATGGCACCTCTGAAAATACATAAAGTCCATGTCCCCCCACCACCATTCCACTGTCCTATGAGCCCAGCATCCTCTCTCACTTGGTGGCATCGTCACATGTTGTAGGCCCATATTATGCTTACCTGCCTGGTGGCGGTGTTGCTCTCTGTGGAGACGCCTGCTGTTGGACTGGTGTGCAGACCATGGGAGCTGCCTCTTTCAGTCCCTGGAGATATGGTGACTTGTGATAACCCTGCGTGGCCCATGGGCGCAAGATCTGGGAACGGGATGCTCCAGATGCGCATCTTCACACTGATGGTCCCTGTGGACCTCAGATTCCCATGTCAGCTTTCCTCACAGTGTCATGCTGAATGCTGAACCTGACTTATCTGTGGTCTCTCAAGATGATGTTAACCCCATTGCCTCCGACAGCTGTAGTCAGCCCATGGTGTAGGTGCCCCTGGTCCAATATGATGTGAGTTGGAAAGTGCTGGCAGAACTCCACTGTGTTAATGAAAGAGCCTGAGTCTTCACTGTGTCAGAGCCCCTGGCCCTGCACAAAAACAACTAAGGGAAATATATTGTGCAGGCACTTGTGAATTTGAGTATCTTTTTAGAATATGCTTTTTAATAGTCTGGCCAGACATTGTGGCTAACACCTGTAATCGAGCAGCTGGGAGACTGAGGCAGCCTGGGCAACTTAGCAAGATGTTATCTTGAAACAAGAAATAAGGGTCAAGGGTATAGCTCGGTACAGAAACCCTGGGCTCATTTCTCAGTGCCTTCACCCAACGCAGAAGCTCAGGGCTCTCGCACATGTCGGAGCAGTTTGAGCAATGAGACTGGGTGTGAAGGCAGCAGTGCAGACAGACCTGGCTGCCCCCTTCTTTTTGGGTCTTCCTGAACAAGTCCTTCCACCTCACCATACCATTGTTTCTTTTTCACAGGAGATGAGCAAATGCCTATGACAGGTGATAGTGTCATTGTGAGAAGTGGCTGTGCAGTGAAAGCTGGTTTGCTACTATTCAGAAAGTCTTTCCAAATGGAGTCCTAGAGCATTCGAGTTAGGAAAGGCCAGAAATCACAGGGCCCCTGGTGTCAGGAGGAACAGCAGGCAAGGCTTAAGCTGGGGAACTTGTGCCACCTCTGAGCCACCTTGCCGTGCGGGTGGTCTGAGAGGTCAGAAGGACTTTGGCAACCCCTGATACCGTAGATCCTTCCGATACCTTTAGCTAGGGAAGGTGGAAAAGGAACCTTGTTGGTCTGCCAGGGGCAGACTCCTCCCACCACACCCGGCCAGTGTCACTCATTGGTCAGAGCTGTGGGGACTTCCGGGGAAGGGGTCTGTCCCTACCTCTCCTGTAGTAGTCCGCTGGCTCCCCAGCATATACAGTGACAACTCTGTTCTCCCCAGATCCCCTTGATAAGTTGCATTCAGTTGAGAAATATCACTGCTTCCGTTAAAGCATGGTGCCCTTCATTTCTGTTTCTGAGGTTCCCCATGGTCCCCTGGGACTGCAGCGCAGCTGGTTTCCTTTCATTAAAGCCTGCTTTGCTTGCTGACTTTGAAGTACGAGGGAGATGGAGGCAGAAATGCCCCTGTTCTTTGTGCTGCTGTCTCATGCTGTGTCTTTGCCCGTTGGCAGCTCTGCTATGACTATAAGTTCGACTTTGAAGATGACCAGCACAAGATTCCATGCCACTGTGGAGCGGTGAACTGCCGGAAGTGGATGAATTGATGCATTCCTTGCTGTCTCAGCGGGCGGCTTGTCCCAAGGAAAAGGCGACTCAACACACCATTGGAAAGCTAGTTTTGTTTTCTGTTGTCCGACTTTGGCAAAACGGCTTCTGGAGTGGGGGTTTCCTCAGCCTTCAGCTTGAGGAAGCCTGCAAAGCTGCTGGCCAACAGTCCTCAGTGCTGAGGGTAAGCAGAGTCACGGATGTCCAGCACTTTTTTTCTTTATTTTCTTCCTTTTCTTTCTTCTTTGTTTCCCTGTGGGTGGGTTTGTTTTGTTTTGTTTGTTAGTCTCACTAAGGAGAAAACTTTTACTGGGGCAAAGAGCCGATGGCTGCCCTGCCCCGGGGAGGGGCCTTCCGATGAATGTAAGACTGAAATCACCAGCGAAGGGGATGTCCAGAGTGCTGGCCACGCCTACTAAGGGGCAGGCCCTCTAGTGAAATTCGTGGACGCCACTGAACAAGGAATGTACCAAGATGACTTCCTTAGGGATAGAGCTAAGGGATAATAACTTGCACTAAAATACATTTAAATACTTGATTCCATGAGTCAGTTTATTGTAGTTTTTGATTTCTGTAAAATAAGAGAAACTTTTTGTATTTATTATTGAATAAGTGAATGAAGCTATTTTTAAATAAAAGTTAGAAGAAAGCCAAGCTGCTGCTGTTACCTGCAGAACTAACTGTTACTTTGTACAAATATGTAAATATTTTGAGAAAAAAAATACAGTATAAAAATAGTTATTGACCAAATGCTACCAGGCTCTGCAGCAGCTCGGGTGCTTATAAAATGTCATAGGGATGTTACAATATAATTTGTGTTATTAAATATGCCATTATAATTATGTAATAACCACAGTTTCAACCTGGAGTGTTTGGGGTTTTTTTGGAAACTACAGTCTATTATTACTTGTTTTATACACCTAACTTCTGACAGAACAGACTGTATGTTGACTACAACTTTTATAGATGTTTTGGTAATTTAAACTAATTTTTTCATATTATATTGTTGCATCCCTACTTCTTCAGTCAGGTTTTTTTGTGCTTACAATTTGTGATAACTGTGAATAACTGCTTAAAAATACACCCAAATGGAGGCTGAATTTTTTCTTCAGCAAAAAATAGTTTTGATTAGAAGTTTGTTCAGACCACAAAGAATCATGTACACATAATAGAATCATGTAGCAGGAATTTATCCTAACTTCTTAGCCTATTTAACATAAAAATTTGAAAAAGAAAAAAAAAAGATGTGATTATGCTCAAGGCTGCAGGACTCCGGCAATAGGGTTTTTCGAAGATGTAATTTTAAAATGTGTTTGTATGAACTGTTTGTTTACATTTCTTTAATAAAAAAAAAAAAACACACTGTTTTGTGTTTGCTTGTAGAAACTTAATCAGCATTTTGAACCAGGCTAGCTTTTTATTTTGTACTTAAAATTCTGGTACTGACACTTCACAGGCTAAGTATAAATGAAGTTTTGTGTGCACAATTCAAGTGGACTGTAAACTGTTGGTACATTCAGTGATGCAGTTCTGAACTTGTAATGTATATGGCATGATGTATTTTTATCTTACAGAATAAATCAATTGTATATATTTTTCTCTTGATAAATAGCTGTATGAAATTTGTTTCTTGAATATTTTTCTTCTCTTGTACAATATTCTGACATCCTACCAGTATTTGTCTTACCGGGTTTTTGTTGTTTTCTGTTCTGTATAATAGTATCTAATGTTGCAGAAATTGAATTTTTTGAAGTATACAGAGTGTTATGGGTTTTGGAATTTGTGGACACAGATTTAGAGGATCACCATTTACAAATAAAATATTTTACATCTATAAAGCTGCCTCTCATTTTGTCTCCGATAGGATTGAGCCCCTGGCTGGGGGCTTTCTGAATTCACTGACAGTCTCCTGTACCTGTCAGAATTCCACCTCTTGGTGAAACCAACTTGTTTCTCTTTTTCAGATGAAATGAGATGGAAGTTCAGGCTCCTTGCCATTAGCCATGTGCTTCTACCTTCGGTCAAATAAAGCAAGTTCTGATTCTTTAAGGCTATTTTTAGAGCTATAAAGCAGATGAAAAATTATCTTTGGTGCTTCATTTCCTTATTCAAAAGCCTGTTTTGTTTGTTTGATAAATTCTCTTTTTTTGAAATGGGAGCCCATTGTTTTGACCAGGCTGGTCTTTGAACTCCTGGGATCAGGTGATCTGCCTTTCTCAGCCTCCTGAATTCTGGGACTACAGGAATGTACTTGGTTTGATTTTTTTGTTTTTTCCAAACTGCCCTCTAGACTTACTGTGTGGTAAAGACTTATTTCTGTCAGACTAAATGTATTTAATATTTAATTGACAGGAACCCTGAAAATCAAAACTGCCCAGAACTCACTTGCTTAAATTTCTGAAACAGACCTTGAGCTTGTGCCTCCCAAACACACTGTACCAGCAAGCTCTTCTGTTGCTTGTTCTTCAGCTCTGCTTGTAGCATCCATCCTGGACAGTGTAAATGCTGTAGTAGAATTTGTCTTCTGCAGGTTGTCAGCCAGGCCGTGTTGGAAACCTGCACTCCATCCTGTCTTGCCTGCCTGCCACCATTGTGCTTGGTGGCTGAAGATCAGACACAGAAGGAACTGAGTCCTGGACCTGCACTCTTACAGTGGATGACAGCTCTTTTGTGCCGTGTCAACTCAAGGAAAGGCAGAGAGGATCATAGCCAACAGATTTAGTAAAACCAGCCCAAGGAAGCAAAGCATGAGAGGTTCTAATCTGCTAAAGGAGATGGCACAGGGATAGGACCTGCTCTACCAGGACCCAGGCACCAGCCCAGAGAGTCCATGAATGGAGGCCTGGGTGTAAAGGCAGGAGCAGCAAGACCTCCTCCCCCTGGCAGAAGGAACTTAACGGTCACTGCCCAGTTGCCTGTGCTTTGATCTCATTCTTGGCATTTTTATTACCCAAAGGCTCTAGGACACAAGGACCTGGTGTCCAGGGCGTGTTTTCTAGTGAGGTAGCAGACAAAGCAACATGGCTGAGATGTAGTCTGATGAGGCGGCTGTAGACAGAGGTGATGTACCTGTCAAGTGAAGGCCTGAAGATGGGAAAGGAGCCAGCACAGAGGAGGGGCAGCTGCCTGCCTGGCAGAGGACATGGCAAGTCCAAGGCCTTGGGCTCTGTCAAAGGCAGATGTAGAAGTTTAGAGAAGGTGCAGCCAGACACAGGACAGGAAACAACGAAGCAGGGCCCAGTCAGGAAAGGCTTAGCCCATCCTGGGTGCAGAGAGCCAGAAGGTGCTGGGACCTGGCTATGCACAGTGACTCAGCCATGCATGAGTAGGATTGTCAGTGTTTGCAAATGGGAGCCAGAGGCTGTGGTGCATCACCCTTCCTGGGTGGGCGGGGAGTGAGAGTTGCCCTGTGCCAGGCAGCTGACGATGGAGAGGGTTAGGAACAATAGGACGGTGTGCCAGTTGGCTGCTCCACTCTTGCACTGGCAGTCACCCTGGTCTAGTTCTTTCCCCATCTGTGCCATCTCGTTCTCCTCTAGTCTGTAGTCCCTGGGACACTGCCTGCCACCGTCACCAGGCAGATGGCACCTCACTTTCTTGTGACAGGTAAATACTGTTGACCATTGTCTTTCAAATCCTTTCTGACCCTTGTTTTGTGGACCACCAACCTCATCTGGCAGAGTTGAAGGATTCCTCACCACAGCCTATGGAAAAGACCAACCATGTTCTCATTGCAAGGTGAGCAGACTGAGTTGTTCTCCTGCTGGGACCCTCAGGTAGGGGCAGGGTGCCACCTCCCAGGCCCAGTGTGGGGCAACTGACTTGTGAACTTGTTTCCGCATTGGCTCCTTGATCTCAAGGCCACACTCAGCCTGCTCCTGGTTTGTTTTGTGATGTTCTCTGTTCTTGCAGGTTTGAGTTCTGTTTTGAAGATGGCTTTCTGGGGTCTGTGAAATTCCTAAACCCAGATTTTGTTCCAACTGTAAAATATACCAGTATTTCCCTTTTTCTTTGGTGGCAACCTTTGCATACTTCATCAAGAGTCCAGGCAAGTATAGAACAATCTTGGAATTTATGTCCTGGCTCCACTTGCAGATTCTTCTCCCTCTTGCTGCACCAGCCCACGCTGTGAGCTCCTATAGCCTCTTTGGTGTTAGCGCTCCCCTACTTCTCTTCTTGCTGAGCCCACCTCATCCTGAACTGCAGCTCACCCAGGTGGTGGTATTTCCAGCACTTTCCTCCCATGTCCTCACCCCAGACATAAGGAGCAGCTGCTCATGCTGCTGTATGCAGTTACTGTATGAAGCTTCCCTTCCTCCTCCAGTGCTGTTCAGCCAGTGTTCCCAGCTCTGAACAGCACTTTGGGGTACCAGGGTTCCATTTGTTTCTTAGGGATGTCTTCACAGTCCCTGACCTGAGTCTGAAAGAGCTGCCGTGCTATAGTTCAGACCTTCCACGACCCCTGAAGGCCCAAAGTCTGGTCCCAAGCAGTGTGCTATAGGGGCAGTGGCAGGGACACCTTTGAAGGGGATAGTGGGGCCTCAGTCCCCCTTCTGTCTTCTCAGCCCTGAAGTGAGTAGTGTGCTTTGCCACAGTTCCTTGCCATCATGTACTGCCTGGCCACATATCCATGGGATAGGGCCAGATATGGGCTGAACCCCAGGACTGGGAGCCAGAAAGAAAGGCAGCTCTTAGAGTCGATCCTTTCTTGGTTTGTCATGGTGCTGGGGAGCTGCCCTGCCTCCTGAGGCATCTTCTGCTTTCCTTTGGCTCACCCAGGAGGACCAGATCTTCCTCCTCCCTCCTAACAGAAGTTTTTCTTTTAAGGGAGTTATTGACTGTTTCTTTATCCCTATGTCCCTTATCTATTCATTTCTAAAAGTAGTATCTCCTACTTCTTCCTTGAGGTCTGTTACATTCTCAATCTTTTACCATGTTTCCACTGGCTTGAACCACCAATGAATGATACATGCATGACCACCCCATCAGGTGGGTGTCACAAGTGGGACAGTCAGGCATAGGACAGTCATGCGTGTGCCACTGCTGGTTCAAGCCACTCAACAATGGACAAATGATCGCCCTGTTGAGAACGTGTTAAATTCTCCATAAATTATTTATTGTTTTGGGGTTTGTTTTTTTTTTTTTTTTTTTTTTTTTTTTTTTTTTTTTTTTTTTAAACTGGAACTATGTAGCCCAGGCTGGTGTCAAACTCACAGTGATCCTCCTGCCTCAGCCTCCCGAGTGCTGGGATTACAGGCGTGCACCACCACACCAGGCTCATAAGTTATTTCTTAATATCTTGCACTTGGTGTAAGTCTGGTACAGCTGTGCCGCACTCTGCAAGCATGTATTTGTGGAGTGCTTCCACTATAATGTTTTGCTGTTTTCTCTTACCATAACTTTGTGTAACTTAGTCTTGACTCCTGCGTTACTCATCTGTTGAGCAGTAGCTTCCTGAGCTGCAGGAGGCTTGGTTCTGATAGCTCCTCCAGCTTCAAAGAATGCTGTTTCTGTCCTTCACAGCTAGTTTCCAAAATAAATTATGTGCTGTTTCCTAAACAGTCACTTTTGTGCCTAGCTTTACATCCCTCAATTCCTCCAGGTTTCATCTTCCCATTTTTTGTTGTTTCTCTTGTTCCTTTCTGTTCACTTTTGTTCTGTCCTTGGCAGAAACTTGAGTTGGAAGGATGTCAAATGCTCCTGGGAACTGCAGCATCTGGCTGCTGTGCTCAGCCTCTCTCCAAGTCTCTGTTCAGCCCTGCTCCATCGGGGTTCTTCTGCTCTTGGACTCGCCAAATGCGCTGTGGCTTCTTTTTTCCTCTGCTACACAAGTGTCAGGGCATGCAGGTCTTGGGCTGCTGTTCTTCCTGTCCCATTCATTGGAGATTATGAGGCTGCTGTATCACTTGGTTACTCTTAAGTACGTCATCTGTGACTTGCGCTGTGCTTGTCTGCCTGCTCTAGTTCCTCTGGATGTGGGTTGAGAGATCAGAGTTCTCTCTCTGCAACTTCCTCAGATGCCCTGCCTGGTGGCCTTTTTTAATTTTAGCCAGTTGGATGGATCTAAAGTGGTACCTAGTTGTGGGGTTTTTTGTGTTTGCCTTTCCTTTCAGACAGGGTCTTGCTCTGTAGTTCAGTCAGCCCTTGTACTTGCAGCATTCTTCCTGAGTGCTGGAATTACAGGCTTGCACCACACCAGCCTGATTGTGATTTTTGTACTTAACCAGGGACTAAGACTGAACACATTGTCATATCTTGCTTGCACCATTTATATAGATATATATGGGGGGGCAGTTTTGAGACAGGGTCTCACTATGTAGTTGAGACTGACCTGGAACTCACTATGTAGCCCAGACTGGTCTCGAACTCACAGCAATCCTCCTCCTCAGCCTGCAGGAGTGCTGGGATTACAAGCGTGCACCACCATGCCTGGCTTCCATTTATATATTTTTTGATGAAGTGACTATTAAAATATTTTGTCCACTTTAAGTGTTCAATTTTAAACAGTTTATAAACTGGTGATCAAGTCTTGATCAGAAGTTTGACTCTGATGAAGTTCAGTTTGTTCCTATTTTGTGGCTTCTTAGGAAACCTTTGCCTGATACAAAATCAGGAATATACTTTCCTACATTTTCCTCTAAGAACTTTGCAATTTTAGCTTTGTAGATGTGAGTCCTCTTAAATAATTTTTGTGTATAGGAAGGAGGGGATTAAGCTTCATTTTTGTCCACAGAAATATCAAATTCTTGCAGCCAAAGTGGGTCCCTTTCCCCTTGAAATGTACTGTTTTTGCCGGAAGTCACCTAGCTTGTACATATAGGTATTTCTATTCCCATCGATTCCTTATCCTTAAGTCACAGCTAGGTAGTTTTGAACTGGTACAAATCATCCAAATTCATCATGTTCAAACTATTTTGGCCACTCTTAGTCTATCATATTTCCATATAAATTTTAAAGTTGGATTACCACCTTCTACACAAAGCCTACTGAAATTTTGGTAAAGGATAGCATTATGTCTATTCATTAAATTGTGAATTAACATCCTAACAGCATTGACTCTTCAGCCCATGAATATAGTAATTTTTAATTAATTTAGGTCTCAATTTCTCTTGGCATTGCTTTGTGCTCACCAGATAAATGTTGCATGTATTTTATGTACCATTACATATTTTTAATCCTGCTGTGATTAGTGATGGCAGTACCACTAATTTAAATTTCAAGCTGTTTGTTGCTAATAGGTAGAAATACAATTTATGTTAATATTTTATTTATGGTCCTGATATACTTCCTATGATATACCCAAGATGAGTTATGTCCCACTAAAACCTCTTGTAAGGTGAAAATGCATTTATTGTGTACAATTTGCCTGGAACATTTACGGTAACCTACAGTGGGCAGAATCAGCCCACACAAAACCTGTGTTATAAGAGTGTGTTGAAAAACTTGAGGGATTTACTCATATTAAGCACAGTGCTGAACATGAAAACCTGGGTAGATGGGGGCCCCTCTGCTCCACTGGAAAGCCAGTAAAGTAGAACCATTTTGTAAGGAATAGTCGATAGTAGGATTTTTACAGATTTTTTTACATTCTTGATTATATTCTGCAAATACACCCCCCGCTTTGGTACCGGTGATCACTACAGATACACCTTTGCTTCTTTCCTCTGTACAGCCTCATTTCTTTTTCTGATTGTACTGCCCTGGCCAGAGCACCTTGCTGACTGGAAGAGATAAGAACGGGCATACTTGCCTCGCTGCAGTCATTGCCCTGCTTTCCCATTAAATGAGGCTATGGTAGTATTTCCAAAGATACACTGTATTGGCCTGAGCATTTTTCATTTCATCTTTTGTTCATTTTTTTCTAGTATAACAATACACAGATAAAAATATAAATTACTAAACAGCGTTTCACCCCCATGCAAAGCTGGAGGTTTAAAGAAAGCAGACAGTGGTTTGGGGAAGATTTGGCATCCATATAAATACACTGAAACCACAGTGGTACTGAACTCCGAACTATCCATGCCGATTTACATTCTGCTAGGTTAGTCCTGTTGCCATTGCAGTCATTAAGCGTGGCCACATTTACACGTAGGAGAGCGGGTTTGTAGGGCAGGAGCCAGGATGCCATCACATGTGGAAAAGCTTCAGAGGCACTGTCCTTGTCTTCACAGACCTCGAGAGGTGTCACTAGCCTCTCTGGCGGACCAACCCCCCACCTGATGCCAGTACCGCAGGGCTCAGAATGAGTTGTGTTCACTATGGTTGCTCTCCTTTTCTTGGTTTTTACTGAATTTTTTAAAATCGAGGAAGGATGTTGGATTGTTTTTTTTTCCCCACATCCTTTTCAGTTTTGGCAGTGATATAACTGCTAAAATGTCCACATGTATGTTTTTGTATGAAGAGAACTTTCTGCTCCTTTAGGTGACTACAGGAGTTCAGTGTGTTCTGTAAGGAAGCACTGTCTTCCAGAGAGCTGCCACCATTACTTTGCACCCTCTGAATATCTGTAGGCTGACATCAGGTAGCCACACTCATTCTTGCTGTTAAGAATCTGCTTTTCTCTTTTGGCTAGAGGTTTATTAATTTTACCACTCCTCTCAAACCAGCTTGTTTCACAATGTTTTCTATTTCATTTCTTTTCTGGTACTTAATGTTTTATTTCTTCTGCTTTAAGCTCCTGACTTATTCTCTTCCTGAAGGTAGAACTAAGACTTTTATCGTTTTCTAACATAGGTGTGGATGCTGTAAAATTTCCATGTACTCATTTAACTGTTTGCCACAAAGTGATCATGTTTTCATTTTCAGACAGTTTAAAATAGCCTTTTGATTTCTTCTTTGATCCATAAGTTATTCAGAAGTATATTGGTTAAGTATTTGGAGATTTTCTAGATATCTTTTGGTCAGATATTACTATTGATTTGTAATATACTTTGCATAACTTGAATTTGTATGCAGTTACTAAGTCTTGTTTATGTCCTGGGACACAGTCTGGTGGGGTGCCAGCTAAGGCAGGTCAGAAGCTGATGTTCTTGTTCCAGCTGACAGATGTGTTGAAGTGACTTACTATCATTGTATGTGTGTCTGCTTCTCTGAGTTTCTGCAGCATGTATTTTGAAATTCTTTTATTCGGTATGTAAATAGGATTATTTTCTTGATAAACCTCTGCTTATCATGGAGGGACCCTATATCATCCCTAGTAACAGTCCCTGCTGAGATCTACTCTAATAGTAACACAGCTATTCTAGAAATGTATGTTTTGCACTGAGTGAAAGATATGTCTTCATATTTGTAGTGAGTTTCTTTTGGGCAGACTACAGTTGGTCTCGCATTTTTTTTAATCCAATCTAATAATCTCTGCCTATTTTTTTGTTTTATCATGACACAGAGTATCACTATGTAGTTCAAATTGACCTTGAACTCACAGTGCTCTTCCTGCCTCAGCCTCCCAAATACTGGGATTATAGGTGAATGCCACCAAACCACCCTTCTGCTTTTTAACCAGAGGATTACTTCCCCCCAACTCTGGTACTGGGGATTGAACTCAGGACCTTGTGCTTGCCAGGTAAGTGTGGCACCAATAAGCTGTACTCCCCCAGTCCCTGAGCCTTACATTTAATGTGATAATTCATACTGTTGGAATTAAATTACCATCATGCCGCTCTTTGCTTTCTAGTCTTTGAAGTCAATATTTAGGACACAGATCATGTATTTCATATGGTACTTAACCTGATAATGTAGTTTAAGATAAAATAACTGAGTTCTTGATCTATGAGGCATTGTCTCCTCTGAGATGTAAAGGGGGTGTGTGTGTGTGTTATATTTTGGTACTTGTACTATACCCCAGACTTTTACAAAATTTTGTTCTAACTGGGAACTCTTCTGAGACCCTGACGTCTGTGTCCTAATTCACACAGTACAATGCTTCCTGAAAGCGAGGGGCTGCTCCCAGGGTTACTGGCTCCCCCACTGAATCCCACAAGAAGAGAGCAAGCCAAAAAAAAAACCCTAAATATTTAAAAAGATCTTTTATTTTAAACGTAGATAGTGCTATAAGTCATCAAAATAATTTACAATAGGTAACTGCCTCTTAAATATTATGATGTCTCATAAAGTTTAATGTGGATCAACCATTTTTTAAATTATCTATTTAGAAGATAATAGAAAAAAATTGTCTCAAGTCTTCTAAGAAAATCAATTTCCCAATCAGATTAAAACCATTCCATCAGTAAAGGGGACTAAAAAGAAGCATAAATAAATATGAATAGAAGTGTCCATTTCCTGGCTTTGGCCTCCTGTATAAACCCAACTCTAGAATTCAAATGACTTTCTAGTTTCCCTCTGAGTGATGAATTCCCTACAGCAGCTCAAAAAGGACATTGATGTCTCCACCCAGGCAGGGGGCAGTGTGGGCTTCTCCTGCCCAGCACATTCTTTGTAAAGCTCCCATGGTACTGTGTTGCCCGTCAAGGTACTGTTCCATCCAGGGACCCCTAACCTTCTAGATGCCACTGCTGTGAGGAGGAGCCATCGCAGATTGCCATAGCAACAGAGCCCTTCTGGCCCAGGGGATCCACCACTTTCAGGCACTGTCCAACGGACACCTGGTATAGCCGGTTATTTTTCTGAAAAAAGGAGGCAGCAAGAAAAAATACCATGAGTTACTTGCTTTTACCTAAAAACGCACATTGGCATAAAATGGTAAAGACAGAAAGTCCAAAATAGATGTGGAGCCTGCCTATGGGACCTTGTAGATCAGCCCCACACCACTCCATCAGCCTCACCCCAAAGGTCCACTGCTGTGATCCTCCTGACCCGTGGCACTTCATGAGGCGTGGTGGGTCTGAAGAGCGAGTCTCTGACATGTCTAGACAGAGGAGGTTATTTAAAACCAATTCATGTTCTTCGTTATAAATCCAGACCTAGAGAAGGGGGGAAAAAATCACTAAGTTTTGCCCTAGATACTGAAATTCAGGACTGTCTGACACTAGAGATCTGTGGAAAAAAAGATGGATTTCTTCAGTGTAGTCTTAAAGCAGAAACAGATCAAAGGACTACACATCCAATGAAGATTTCACTTTAGTTCACTCCATCTCAGACAGCCAACAGGAAAAGTGGAGCATTTGCTCATTTGGATCTGGCTGTCCCCCAAAGGACCATGGTGTTAAGGGCTTGGTCTTCCCTCCACTTGGTGTCCTTGAAGAGGACCATGGGATGCCACACCTTTCTTCTGTTTCTGGCCATGAAGTGAAGGGGTTCACCTCTGCAATGTGCTCAAACCACAGGCCAGCCAACCACTGACTGACACCTCTAACACTGGAAGCCAAAGTATGCCTTTCGTCTGGTTAAGGTGAGCTGCTTGGGTATTTTGTTATAGTAATGGAAAGCACACTTGACACTGCTGTTCTGGAAAGAAACGTAAGCGGTGATTAAACTTTGCTGACTGGATTTAAGAAATCGCCCCAATTCTAGGGCTTTACAATTATGTGATTTTCTTAGTTCACAGTCTGTGTACGACCTGAAGGAGCTGCTGGCCTGCTGTCTGAGGACAAACAACATTTGTCACATTTCACAGCCTCATCTGCTGAATGAGGAGGTTCATAAGCTCTCATACCACAGGATTCTGAAGAATCCTCTGGATCATAACATTAGCATTGTGAAGCAGAAATGAATCCTGGCTGCCCTGCACCAGGACTTTAGTACACAAACGTCCTTTCTTTCAGGAACCCAGGCCTGCAACTGGCTCTAAGTGCAGTGAGTAGTTTCCTTCAGGAAGCCCCATGTACAAGCTCAGAAGGAATTATTTCCTCTTCCATTCCTCATGATCACTTGTATTGGAGACCCAAATGTGTGTAGAGCAGACATCGTCAGACCAACAGGAAGGTGTAACTGAATGGTCTATAATGCTGACATTTTATAACCTGCCTGTCCAGTTCAGCTCGTGGGGTTGGGGGGTTTACCAGCAACTGAACTCAGGATCTTGTGCTTGCAAGGCAGGTGGTGGAACCACTGAGCTAAATCCCTGGCCCTGATCAGTTCATTTTAAAGTCACACATGTTTACAGTGTTAGCACAACTCTCCACAGCTACAACTTAGTATATTTGGGACAGTATTGTAGGACAGTGTGACTCTACCCGCCCAGACTTCTTACATTCCAGCTATGTCACCCCACTGTGACCTGCCTCCCTAAAATGTCGCTGCAATTCTAAAGCCCAGTGTCCATACACTGTCACCTCTATCAGAAATGGCTCAAAATGTTTTAAACCATGTTTTCCAATATGCATATCTCATCCTACTGTGCATGAATGCTCTGAGAAATGAAACATGTTCTAGGAAATTTACCTAAGAATTTTTTCATTCCTATGTGACACCAGTGCACCATTAAAATAAAAGTGGGAATGACTCACACCATACCATAAGCATTTTAGACTTGAGACAATGATGAGATTAGGTCACTGTTAGCTAATGTTAATTTCAGTGCTATTTAATATTGAAAAGATTGGGCCAGGGACTTAGCTCAGTGGTTCCGCCACCTGCCTTGCAAGCACAAAGTTCTGAGTTTGAACCCTGGTACCAAAAAAAAAAAAACCCAAACAACTGAAAAGACATATACTGACTTGTGTGAATGAAATGAACTAAAATGCTGTTGAGGTTTCCTTTGATGAACCATAAAAATCAGTCATTTGATTTGTGAGAAGACTATGAAAGATCCCTGGCTCATCTAACAAATTTAAAGGTTCTAATCCAAGGAGGTTCATTTCCTTTAAAGTCATATAGCCTGTAAGTCACAAACCAGTCCATGTAACACTGGAATGTACTAACAGTAGTTTAAATAACTGAAATGTCACTATGACAAAAAGGAGAGGTATGAAAAATATAAGAAGATAAAAGCAGATGTTCAAGATGATGCTAGAATCATTCCCAACTTGTGAAAAAAGATTATTAATCATGTTGATGCCAGCCTGGCTCTGCAAGGACCACTCACCTGAGCTGGGTCTCCATAGTTGCAGGTCTTGAGCACAACAAGGCCTCCCTTCTGGCTTGGGCGGCCCTGGGCCACCAGACACTTGTTGGTCTGAAAGTGATAGAGCTGTAAAAGAAGAGGGAGCAATTGATTACTCAGCATACAAAGGCAGACTGATGTCTGGAGATACTCTGAGAGCTCAAAGAGCTCCTGAAATGATGAGCATTCTTTCTTCCAAAGTTCTAACAGATGCAGGCAGTGTCAAATAGAAATTCTAGCTAAAAACACAAATTCACTACTATAAATAAGGGATGAAGGAAATTAAAATATCATCCCACTTTGAAGAACCTAAAATGAAATCAAGGAAATGAGAGCAAAGGTACAAAATGTACCAGGTAATTAGATGTAATACCCATGCTGACCTGGAGGTAATAGGTAAGCACCAGCAGCCAGGAGTTTCAGCCACAGGGACATGCATGGGAGGGCCTTCTCCCTTGAAAACACCTAATATGTTTATGAAAGTAGCCATGCTTCCTTTTAAGGCCAACAGAGAAAGATTTTGAGCAAAGGTATTAAACTTTGTAAGCTCTTACATCTGAATAGAAGGTTGTGTAGTTAAATCTAGACTTCCGTTAAGTCTGGATGTCATTTATTACAGCCTAACATCACCCCCAAACTTTGAAACTCACGGTCAAGGCTACTGCTTACCCGTCCACGCTGCAGGACTCTGGGGCGCTTGGGCCCTCTGTTGACAAAGATAGGCTGCTGGGCTTTGGCATTGGGCCCCGGGATCTGCATTTCTGGGTAAATGTTATCCAGATACCATTTGAACGACTGGCAGCCCAACTTCTTTCTCAACTCAACACGTTCACTGATGTTGCCATAGCTTTTGGTTTTGAGATCAGGTCTTAAGGAAAAATACTGTTCCTGGATTTTTAAAAGATGAAAGGATTTTTTGAGGTTTAAAGGACAACAAGAAACAATGGGTAACAAATATTTTTTCATTCCAGTATTTTCTTGGTGAAGAAAAAAAATACCAGTGGAAATTTTCCACACAATTAAATCTGTTACTGACAGTAGGATTGTGAAATGGTACAATACATCCCAGTTTCAGGAAGAGCAAAATTTATAAAATTGCAATGGCTCTCAAAACTCTTTTAGACTATATTATATATTCTTTTTTTTCTCCTGAGTTTATTGGTACATAGTACAATTACATTCATCATTGGGATCCTATACCTTTACATAACAGGTCTTGGTTCTCTGTATTATATATTCTTAAAAATACTAAAGACTCCAAGGAGTTTCTGTTTACATGGACTGATATTACCATATTAGAAACAAAAACAGAGAAATTAGTAGTTACTCAAAACAGCAGCAACAAACTCATTTTGAAAACACAAGTTTGTAACAGTGACATTTGCTTTATATTTTTGCAAATTGTTTTACCACCTGGCTCTTACATACATTTAGTCTATTGTTAGAAGTCGTAGGTGAACACATTTTTATAAATACAACCTCCAGAAACTATGTAGTTGAAAACAGAAACAATATTTCAACTGGCTTATTCTTTTACACCAAAACTGGATGACTTTTAGTGTAATTATAACAGAATAAAAAGTATCACTGACATTTTCATCCTTTTGCATTAAAATCTGATCCATCTTGCTTTTTGAATGGATCTTTACCTAATATGCAAGATTTTCATAACATTGGTCACTTGGGATTAAGATTTTATAGGCATATGTACCAACTCTACATGGTGAAGGTGAATGTCTATGTTATGCATCACAAATGTGTACTGGTAAAAATACATTTTACACAAAATTTTAATATTGGCCCACTGACTTGTGCAGTTTGTTCCAAGTACTGACAAATTGCACCGTACAGTAATTAAATTACATTTGTAAACATCACTGATCTCATTACAAGTAACACAGTGGGATGCCATCGAGCTCATGGTGGTAGATATGTTTTTCCAAGTTCTTTAGAGTCTGAATTTTACCATTTGCTGACCTGTCTGACCAGTCTGGTGCAGACAGGTTTCTGACCCAGCGGCTGAGGTATGGGCACTGCTGGCCGTCAAGGAGCTCAGAATGAGGAGGGGACAGTGGTATACAAATGCTGGCGACCCGATGCTTCCTTATTGCTCCAACTGCACCCTCACAGCATTCAAAATCACTGGCAATCCCTACTCATATCCCCAAACCCTGACACAGCCTTGCATGCAGGATATGCTCGATTCATTTTTTAAAAACAACTACACACATGAGCACAGTGGCGTTTTTCACAATAGTGATCTTTAAGTGAAGGTTAGCCAAGCAAAAATTCACAAGAGTGAAAGGAAAAGCAACTGAATCCACCCCTTGCCACAGGACACAACTGCCCCACCTTGTATTCATCCAGCCAGACGTGTGCCAGCCTCAGTGAGTTGTGTGTCATGGTGTCCTGGCCTTCGGGAGAGCCATACGGCCGCCTCTTCCGAAAGATGTGTCCTACTCTTGAGCAAGGGATGATAAAGAGTTTCCCGCCACACATCCAGATCTGGCCAAAAGCAAAGATGCATTAACTTTGCATCCCGTTGATGTGAAAATCTAGGGTTGAATTTTCATGACATTAATCATTAACTAGATATCTGTGAACTTGGAAAGAGTTTATGTTACTAGATACAGGTCAACAGAAGAAAGAGGAGGGCACTTACTAAGTCTTGCTTGTCTTTCTAAGAAAATGGAAACAAAGTCTTTGTAAATAGGGAAGGGTAAAAGAGGATGAAGGGAAGGCAGGGGAATGGGGAAAAAATAAACCAAGACATCACGTAAAGGTACAAGATTCCAATGATAAATGTAACTTGATTGCTTTAAATGTATCAATAAATTTAACAGGAAAAAAAAGATATTTAACTAATATTTTTAAAAAGTTATGTCTTTCTGAAATGAGCTAAATTCTACAATATAATACTTATTTGCCATCATGTGTCTGAAATTGTGCTTCACAGTTTCTGTTACCTAACAGAGGTCAAGGGACCTGACTGTGGTTATACATAGTACCCAACCTTCTCATTTCAGTTTTTCAGGTACTTCCTTATAAAAACTACATACTTATTTTGAAAAATAGTTTTTTTTTTTTTTTACAAAATACACAGACCAGAATGAAATTCAAAAGACTGTATTTTAAATTTTGGTGGGACTCCATTACCTTTTCTTTAAAAGAGACAACAACTGGAATAACATTCCCTTCAACCTTAAAATTCTAAAAATTGTGGAAAACTACATGAGCACTGTGGAATTATGCGACAGGGATTCTGCTGCCTGGACAGGGTGTGGGAGGTGGAGAACGGGACACCTGTACATAAGTGCTTAAGTATTTCTGCAAGCACAAGGGCTCCCCTGCCCTTCTTCCCTTCCTGAAGTCACCTTTGCACCAGGATCCCAAGTCACAGGCCCCACCACCACTGTCATCTTCCTAAGAGGTGAGAAAGTGAAAGAATTTATTCCTTACATCAGAGACACCTGTGTCTATAAAGGACTCAGGTCCTTTAACTTAATCATCAACTGGGCTATTTAGGAAAGCGATGTGCAGAGCTATTAGTCTACCCAGGAGGAGATGTAAACCAGGCTGTTCTTGGCTAACTTTGAAATATGACCACCTTGCTATATACAGCCAGATCAATAAAATGAAACTGATGAAGAACAAAACTTTACATTAAATGCACATTAAGACTTCCTGAAGTTACACCCAACCACTCATTACAATTTAAAAATTATAAAATAAATGTATTCTTATATGCTTTTCACTAAACAGGTAATATATCACAGATTATGTAAATTAGCATTCACTAAGGAAAATTTGTCAATAACAATAAAGAGCATTACAGAAAATATAGCGTGATGGAGGACAATAACATTACACCATATACACAGTAAATGAACCACAAAATTACCCGAAATGATATTTCCAGATTTTCTCCTCCCCAGATATCCATACCACTGTCATACTGTCCAAGCTCATTGAAATACTGTCTGTTCATAGCAAACAGTCCTCCAGCCATTGTAGGGGACCTAGAAAAGGAAAGTAATTCCTGTTTCAATCTTTGAAAAAAAGACATTCAGTATAACTGTGGAACATATACAATAGATTATTATGAAACATTTCTGTGAATATCAGGAAATGAACTAGGCTACACACCTGAAATATCTAAACTGCTAATGAAAGAAAAGTAATCTTTACATCCAAATACCTAAGTATCAGGCCAGGAAGGATCTGAAGCGAGAAATGAAGTCAGAGGAGAGAGAGCCAAGAGAGACTTCAACGAAAAAGAGGGAGGTGGCAGGCAGCACTCTGTCCCAGAGTCTGGACTCACGGTTTATGGACAGTGGGTTGAGCCTACAGATGCAGTGACTGCTGGGGACCCCCAGCCTCTATGGAGGCCTCCACAGAGAAAGGAACACAGCAGTGGACGCAGGGGACTACAGTAGCTTGTAAGTTACTTGGGTTCAGACATCACCCAGGAGAGGGCAACTGGCCGGTACCCATCTTGGAGAGGGGCCAGCATGTATTTGAACTTTTTTATGTAAATGAGATTAATAGCAAAAGAAACCACAAGAACTTCATAAACACATAGAAATTTACCAACACCCTCCTGAATGACCACTGGGTCACAGATGAAATTAAAGAAGAAATTTGTTTCTACAATTAAATGATAATGTCAATACAACATACTAGAACTTATGGGACACAATGAAAGCAGTCCTGCAAGGGAAATTTATAGTGGTGAATACTCATATCAGGAAAACAGCAGGCTCACATAACCTAATGTTGAACCTCAAGCTTCTAGAAAAAGAAAGTCAAGCCCGAAGTTTGATCAAAGCTCTGATTATAAAGATCAGAGCAAAATTAATGCAATGGAGATCAAGAAAACAATACAATGAATCAGTGAATTCTCTGGTGTTAGAAAGTGAAAGTGGAAATAAGGACTAAAATGTACAAGAGATATTAGGAAATGGGAAGGAAAATAATATTTCTGTGCCATAACTACATTTGCTAAAAAATCAGCTTAAATGGATTCGCCCCTTTTTCTGACCCTCACAGAGCCCCTTGGATAAAAACTAGACTGCAATATGGTCTTCCCACACAATCTGAGTCATCAAATGTGTGAGCAGTGGCTCTGAATGGGCTGGCTTTGTCCCCTAGCAGATATTTTGTAATGTTTGGAGCATTTTCTTAGCTGTCACAACCTGGCACATGGTGAGGTGGAGGGGCTACAGCCCAGGACAGCGCCAACCTAATGCACACAAGTGTAGCCCGACATATCAGCACTGAGGCTGAGAACCCTGTGCTGGGGGTGCAGGAGGCTGAAGCAGGCAGGACCACAGGCACTCAGGCCTGGCTCCCACATGTCCTCCCCTGAAGCAAGATTGAGGACCAAGGATCTCAGTGGCCCAGAGTGCCTGTGAAAGAGAAGTGAAATCCCAAGCGAGGACTTGCGCAGTATCTACAATAAGCAGAAGTGAAAGAGCAAACAAATAGCCAGGCATCCAGAAAGTTAAAATCACTAAAAGGAAAAAAAAAAACAACCTACTTAATGTGTTTAAAAAAAAAAAAAAAACAAGGGGCCGGGGATTTAGCTCAGTGGTGCCGCTCGCTGCCTGCCTCAAAAGCACAAGGACCCGAGTTCAATCCCCACCACCAAAATAAACAAGAAAAAGCAAGACTGACAGTCTGGCAGAGAAGTAGGTATAATAAAAAAGGGAAACATGTTTATACATGTCTGAAAAACACTTCTGAAAATTAAAAAAGGTTATCTTGAAAGGAAGCAAAAATAAAACAGATACACAACTTTGCATCTGGAATAAGAGGAAGCCAGAAGATGCCTGAGTGACACCCTCAAAGTCCCAAAAAATTCCAGCCAGCCTACATCTGGACAGTGAGCAAAACCTTTTTAATGGTGAAGGCAGGCATGGTGGTATCTACCTGGAATCCCAGTACTTCGGGGGATCATGAATTCCCAGCCACCCTGGTCTTCATAGTAAGACCCTGCCTATCAGTAAGTAAAACAAAATCATGGTGAAACAGACACAGAGGAGCAATCAGTAACAGGAATTAAAGGAAATAACTGAACAGTACTCTTCAGCCAGAATGAATGACCCCAGTCAGAAGTGTACCGAAAGCATCGGGGAGTGACAAAAGGGAGGTGTGTGGGCAAACCCACGTGAGCACGGGCTGCGTGGGAAATGCCTCAGAGCGCAAAGTTCGTATCTTCCAAGAGCATCACAGGATCCGGCAGGGGGTGGCTGGAGCGGGGACCTTCTGAGACCTCCACAATGTCTTGGAAAAGGGCCAATTATGTTACACTTACATCCTCCAGGGTGACTAGTACAGGGAAGTTATCCCTTCTAGTGATGGGGTCAGAGCTAGGAACAGAATGATATCTGGTCTTGGTCAAGGGCAAGAAAAGAAGAATAAGAAGCAGAGCAAACAAAGCAGATAGTCTCAAAATCTCAAAAATGTTTTTCATACTGGTTTCAAAACGTAAAATCCACTGCTCACAGCTGACATGGGACAGATCTAAGTATAAGAACACGGGAAGACTGATGGTGAAAAGAGAGAAAAGCAACTGAAAATGACACCCTTAAATACTTTCTCATTCCCATCAGTAAGTCTTACACTGGCACTGAGGAGAGGACCACAGTTACTATCTATGGAGTCCAGGAAGGAAGAGCAGAAACAGATGGCAGGAAAGCGGGTAAAAGAAAGGCAGGTTTTATGCTAAGTTCTTTATGACATGATCTGTTACTGATTATAAGTTTTGATTAAAAATACTAAAAGTAAAGCCATAAAAAAACATACACATGAAGATGATGAAACAGACAAAAACGTTAAAACTGGCAACTAAAGGCTAAAGATGAGAATACATAAGGCAAAGCCTGAGGTACTTCTTGCAATGGAAAATTTTACATGTTCTGAAAGGAATTCAAAGGGTCCAGAAGAGACAAGAAAAAGCTGAACACACCTGCTCTCTGCCTCCAGCACAGGACGTGAGGCGGGGAGCAGGGACAGATGACAGTGCTGGCCTGGAGTGCTGCTCTCTTGAGAGGGGCTCTGTGGCCCCCCAAGAGCCACACCAAGCCCCCTGGAAGAAGGGGTGAGTGGAACCGCATCGGCCACTGCCTTTCCCAAACCAAGTGACAGTGCTTCTCTCAGGAAGCTGGGGCTGCTCCAGAGGCCTGGACACTGAAGGGCTCCACCAACGCCCCTACCCAAGCAGGCTCAGAGGGAAGCAAGACAAGCTGACAGACATCACATGGCTGCTGAGCTGGCCTAGTCACCTAACTAGCAGGAGGACAGAGCTACACAGTCTTAGCAGATCACCACTAAGCTGAAGAGGCATGCGACCTCACTCCTGAACAGAAGACAAGAGTGAGAATGTTCTTTAATACCTTTGATTTAATGTTAAATAAAACAAAACAGTCCAACAGCCCACCAACAGACATGCACAGCAAAACTGTGCTATACTCACAGCAGACAAAACTTCTGCTACACTCACATAGCAACAAAAACGGACCAACTACAGCTGTGTACCTAACATGGAAGACTTTTTAAAATAATGTTGAATCAAATGGCTTTGTTTATATAAAGAACAAGAGCAGGCCAAACTAAACTATTCTGTTCAGAGACCTATCCAAAAGTGGTAAAACTACAGAAAAGCCAAGACATGTCCACCATGTCAGGGTAACAATCCCTGATGAGGTGCAATGATTTCAGTGTGGGGCACAGAGAATTCCCCCCACAGCCATGTGGCAGGTCATGTGCATGCACTTTTACCTACATACTATTTTACTTAGGTTATTTTTCACAGTAAAAGTGAAAGAGTAGATCTGAGAACTTTAAGAACACAGACCTCTCTGAAATCTACATGAAACATTTTAAAGGAGAAATAACACAAAAGGAGTTATAACACTGAATATGGAACACCCATGAGAACTTAGCGATCCAAACAGACGTCTTAGTGATGGCACTGATAACACTCATTTTTGAAACCCTGATTAAAGAAGGCTTATGTATCACTGTTCTTCACAGCATTTTTCATACTACAGGTGGAACATCTATCATCCAAAAATCAGAAATGTTCCAAACTCGACACTTTCTTGGTGCTGCATGACACCCCGAGTGGATGACCCCACACCTGGCCGCAGGTGACCTGTCATGGTGAAACCGAGGACAATGCGTAACCACCTTCAGGCCATGTGGATGTGTGCACATGAAACACACGTGAATTGTTTCTGGACTGGGGTCCCATCCCAGGATGTCTCATTATGTATGTGTAAATATCACAAAATCCAGCACAAATCCCAAATCTGAAACACTTCTGATCTCAAGCACTGGATAAAGTATACTCAACCTACAGCAAAGGACTAAACAGGCTAACATCCAACACCAGAAGCCACGTAGTGCACCTGAAAACAGCACACAGGTCTCCCTGGGCGTCCTGTGCACTTGTCAGGAGGGAGACCACTGCGCCTGCCTCTCCCAACTCTGCACCTTGCACCCTGAGAACCCCTTACCGAGTCCTCTCACTAGGACCTGGCTGAGCACATAAACCTGATAGGCACTCAGGTCTTTTTAATGGGGAAATTAGGCCAGCAGTTGTGCTCCTTCCAAAGAAAGACAGATCTTTTACCTAAAGTTTCTGCTGTGTGGAAGTGCCGGGGGCTCCAAACCCAAGTGAACGCAAGTCTTACTTTATCGGTGCAGTGGCGCTGTCTGCTCCCCCCAGCTCGGAAAGTGGAACAAGATCCCACTTGAAGTGCAGCCCCCAGTTGAAGCCGCCCCGCACAACAGGCGATGAGCTGTAGGCCAGTGTGTCGGCACTGATGATGTCGATCACCGGGCATACCACTGTGTGTGGGTCCCCGCGGACAGCGGCCAGCAAGGGCTGCAGCCACATCACGTTCACCTCGCAGTGGCTGTCCAGGAACACAAGGACTTCTCCTGAGGAGGACAACGGCAGAGGCTCAGGTGGGATGGCCACAGCCAGGCAGGGCCGGGCACAGTGTGAAGAAGCGCCACCGCTTTTCCAGCCCCACCACCAAGCCTGTCCTCCTTCCTCTGCCAACCCTGCTGCCAGGCAAAATCATAAAAAGTTACATGCATTTTCAATTCCTCTGATAAATGTGAGCAAGAATGAGAATTTTGAGGGTTTTTTTTGGTACCTTGGATCAAACTCAGGACCTTGCACCTGCCAGGCAGGCACAGAGCCACTGAGTTATATTCCCAGCCCAAGAATTTGTTTTTGATAATTCCAAAACTCTTTAATAACTTCAAGGTTATTCTGAGCATTAGAAACACTTCAATGCAGGCATCGGAGAGCATTACTGGTCTAAATGTGTGTCTGTAAGATATATCAATGCAGATTTTACATAAATACTACACTAACAGGTGTATCCAGTTTCAATTCATATAAAAGCAAGAACTCAGACAAGTCTTCAGTGATAACAGTGAGTTAGTCACATAGTTCAATGTCTGCAAATAACCTGAATGAGGACAGCGAACAGGATACTGCTCTCTAGCTGTTCCTGGAACTCAGAAAGGCAAAATGCTCAGGGTGGACATCACCACAAAGTGAGATTGGTTCATTCAAGGTTTGGCAAGAAAAGTATTCCCAGCTTTCTCCCAAAAGTGCTACTTTTCCAAATAATGCCAATTTAACTAAGTCAAGTAAGATTTTATCTGGTCACACTGAACCTGCCACAAGGAAGTCTTCCTTCCGACAGACCCTACACTATGTTTCAATAAGGATCTGACCAGATCAGAAAGAAACACTAGAACTAAACTATTTTCATTTGGAAAAAAAAAAAATCACAGTAAATGTGCACTATAATAGCACCATAGTTCAAATGGTATAATCTCAAGAGTAGCCCCAATTTTCTCTATCTTGCTTTCAATATCTCAACATGGTGGCCAGCTCAGCAGGCCTCTGACCGGAGTCTAGGACGCTGCTTCAATGCACATGGCTCAGACTGGACCCAGAGGAGCCGCTGCTCACGCTCTCCCAACTGCTTCAGTTCACTGAGGGTTTAAGAGGAGAAAAAGATTCTCGAAATGAAGTCCCAAGTGAACCCCGGCAATGGGACAGGCAGTGGCGGCCCAGCCGTGATCACTGAATGCCATAAACCTGAGTGCTGGTCCCTGAGCAGCTCGGACAAGGCAGTGGCAGGTGCTGTCTTGCGGGAACACCCCTGCCGCTGCAGGTAATTCTCAAGTTACTTTTGTGGTGCTCTTTGTCGTAACTACATACTCACTACCTGCAGTACTGTGTCAAGTACCAAACTTTAAAATGGATTCATCTGTTTTAACTTAAATTTATTTTAAAAGGAAATTTTTACCAGGATAATAAAAAAAAAAAAATCAAGACTACTAAGATGACACATGGTTCTTTTTAGGTAACCATAAAAAGAAATACCATTAAGTCAACATAAATGAAGACTGACCAGATATATTTTTTGCAGACTCTGAATTTAGTACCTGTTCTTTCTTTTTAGAGAGGAAGATACAGTTTATATGTGATAGGAAAGTTTAAAGATTTATCAGTAATAGTACTTTCTCCTTGATGGAATCAGAAGGATCAAAAGAAAATTTTTGAGAAACATCTTTCTTAAAAGCACACACCTGTGATCCCAGCACTCAGGAGGCTGAGGCAGGAAGATTGCTGTGAGTTCAAGGCCAGCCTGGACTACACAGAGAGACCCTGTCTCAAAAAACAAACAAACAAAAAAATCTTTCCTAATAATGGAAGTCAATCCCATGTTTCCCTGAAAACAAAACCAAGCTAGAAAATAATAAGCCTCAAAAGGTAGGGATCAAAAATGCCAGCCATGATCAGCCTTATCCTGGCCTTACCTGCCTTACAGAGAAGCCACCAAGCAAGAGCACAGTGATGGCAGGTAAGGCAAGGGTGGGCTGATGGGGCCAGCGTTTCTGATCTCTAGTTTTCAAGGCTCATTATTTTCTGGTTAGGTCTTATTTTCAGGGAAACAGGGTCATAGCAACGAAAATCATGATCACATCTCCAGAGGTATGTCTGCTACACTAAGAATTATTAGTATAATCCAAGCAAACAGTTTGGTTTCAAGTATTTGAAGTTTTGTATTAAAAAACTTAAAAGTTCAGCTACATTCTGGCTTGAAATTTTCTGCTTACGCACCAGTGGCAATGCTGGTTAGGTCACTGTACTCTCCACCTGCGCAGCAGGGCTGCCATTATAAAAAGGCCTTTCCAAGCTGACCAACCCCAGCATTCGGCTACCAATGCCATGTACACACTGTGCTTCTGAGACCTCTGCAGGCACAGGAACGACTGTAAGAGCGAGCACCAGGCTCCCGACAATACAGAGAAACCAACCTCGCCATCTTACCTGTGGCGTGGGCTGCTCCAATCATTCTTCCACGAATCAACCCCTCTCGCCTTGGATTTCTGATTACTTTAATTTTTGCAGGGAGGTATTTTTGGACATATTCATCTAGTTCTCCTTTTAAATCATCTGAAAAAGAATTCCCCAGTTATTCAAACTGTACAAGGTACTAGATGGCAAGTTCAAGGATGTCTTAGTGCATAGTGAGACTGTCTCAAAAAGCAGTCAAGGAGCCAACAGCCCAGAAGCAATATGAGGCATGGTACAGGCATTTTCCAGCTGTTCCAACCAATTGTACATGCAAAGCTCTACAACAAACTGTAAAGCAAACACAGATCTTCAGCTTTGCTCTAAAAAAAGCATGGACAACATGTGAATGAGTCTCCTGAGTACATGAGCACTGGCTGGGTGCATGTAAGCCACATTTACACAAGAAAAATAGATGTCAGTGGCTTCTGGGTAACTGCATCCTAAACCTTACTTCATTTCAGAATTCTTGAGAAATAATGTCTATTGCCCCTATCAAGAATTATACAATAACAGCAGTAAACATGACCTTTTTATTAATTTAGTGACTTTCTTCCAAAAGCAAATACCCCCTTTCAATGCAATTTTGTTTTTTGGTTGCTGAAGCAGGGTCTCAATATGTAGCCCGGGCTGGCCTTGAACTCAAAGTGATCCTCCTGCCTCAGTCTCCCAATTGCTAGTATTACAGGGATGTGCCACCATGCTCAACAGTGTCAAATAATTTTATGAATTTTAGGTCATTCATTCACCTTTAAATTTCATAATAATGTTAAAGACTATGTAAGATAGTAAAACAGTAATTTGTTCCACAGTTAGTATACAAACCACTGTAAGTCATCATGGATTTTTCCTTTTAGGTAAAACAGTCACAAAATGAAAACCAAACTACAGGCTGATTAAAAGAAAAAAGTCAAACTGAGCATGGTAGTACCTGACTGTAGTCCTAGCCACCTGGGAGACTGAAACAGGAGGGTCTCTTGAGCCCAGGAGTTCCAGGCTGCCCTGAGCAATGCTGCAAGACCCCATCTCAAAAGGAAAAATAAAATCTCTAGAATTTGGTATTGAGCTTATTTTCTCTGTGCTCTAGACTCAAATTTGCTTATTTTTTAATCACACATTTTTGGAAGTAAGTTCTGAAAACTTCTAATTTTTTTTTCCTCAAAGTTTCAGTATTCACAAAAGTCTGAGCACCTAGGGCCCTGGGTGTCAGCACTCCCCTTCCTCACCACAATAAGGCACACTGTGAGGTACTCTGTGAGGCTCTAAGGTGCTTAGTGAGTCCCCAGTGCATGGAAATGTCACTGTGGTTGGGCAGGGCACCATGATTCTTGTACTTCCTGCTGTTTACCAACCTCTCACCTATCTTGTAAGATCCTAGAGAGATGTATGAGTCAAGTCTTCACCCTGCCTGTATATGTGAAGCCTTCCTGTGCACAAAGCTATAGTAGGTTCTGAAGAGGTGTGTGAAATACAGAGGGAATCATAAAACACTGGCATACAAAGATCACCTAGGAGCTATCAGAATACAGTCCACTGTGGTGTGGGATGGCTGGCAGAAGAGACTTACTAGGTAAATGGAGACCAAGGCACTGTCCCCATCTTAAGAGTGCATACTGACTGACTGCATTTATGTAACCTGTCTGAAAGGACGGAATGAGGCATTAGCAGTGGCCAGGGGTTAGGGATGCTGGGGACAGGAGGGGGTTGTGACTACCTTGGGACCACATGGGGTGGGTCTCTGGGATGATGGAGTGGCCCGTGCCCTGGCTACCATGGACAGAATGACTTGAAACTTCACGCAGTGTGGCACGGACATGAACTGTCCCAGAGGCTCATGGGGCAGAGGCTTGGGTTCCAGCACAGCAGTGTTCACAGGGGGTCTTTTGGAAGTGATCAGATCATAAGTGTTCCGACTTCCCAGGGGGTTAATCTACGGAAAGAGTCATAATTGGATGGTGTCACTGGGAGGCCATGGGAACACGGGAAGTAAGAATAAGTAACTTCAAGGGCCAACTTTGGGTAGCACAGGTGTAAACAGATGACAAGGTCAGGCATTCCTTCAGGCACTCTGGCTTGGGTACGCTTCACACACAACTATGGGGCCAGTCAGCTTTGCTGGTTATCACTGGAGACTCGCTTACCAAAGTCACTGTCGTCATCTACGAGGATGATTTCATGAAGTAGGTAGGCGGGTGTTCGGTCTAGCACACTGTGCACTGTTCGGAGCAAGGCAGAAAAGGCTTCATTGTAGAAACAAATAACGACACTAGCTACTGGCAGATCAGTTGGGTAAGACTTCTCTTCGCATCTGTAAAAAGAGACAAAGAAAATTGCTCTTCAAAGGTGCAAAGGTCCTAGGTTGTTAATCACTAAATACTTATTGTCCCTTTGTTCAGCCTCCTACATTATAACAATTTTTTCAAAAGCATGTAAGAAAACACTGTTTTATTATTCAGGAGTTTCATATTTTGTTAGTTTCTCCCTCTGATACTTGCTGTCTCACTTCCTTTTAGATCCTTTTTTTTTAAGACGGTCTCGCTATGCAGTTCAAGCTGGCCTCAAACTCACCAGCGATCCTCCTGCCAAGTGAGTGCTGGGATTACAGACATATACTACCACTACCCTCAAGATCCACCAAAAAAAAAATTTTTTTTTAAATACTGGGGAATGAACTCAAGACCTTGAGCTTTTGAGGCAGGTGCAGTGCCACTGAGCTACAACCCCAGCCCAGAAGGTCCACATTTTAAAACTTGAAGTTTTTTTCCTTTTTTTATAGAGAAGTTATATAGCATTGCGAGTTTTTGTTTTGTTTTTGTTTGGGGTTTTTTTGTTTGTTTGTTTTGATACCCTCAACAGAAATGTTTTCTTTACTGTAATTACTGCAAATCTTAGATGCAGCACTCATAACCTGATGTTCAGCCTCTCCACAATGAGGTTTCAAAAGGACGCAGAGATTATAAAACTTTGCATCTCAAAGCTTTACTTTTGCTCAGTAATGTTGTAACAAGATTTGAGTAAACTACAATCAATATCCCAAGGTGACAGAAGAGATTCTATAGAAATGTCTAGTTGATAAACAGGATTAGGGGGCAACAACAAAACATTCACTGAAGTCCAGAGTCCTACATGCTTTCCTGGCAGGCGCTGAGGCCTGGCCTCGGCTCCTACTACACTCTCACCACAGCTGCTGAGGCCTGGGCTCAGTCCCCTCCCCAGACCCACAGTGCCCACTCCAGAACCTCTGTATCACACACAGGGAAAGGCCTCTGCTTTCGAGTCCTGCCCTTGTTGGGCTGGGTCCCTGTGCCACCAACTCCTGTCTCAGCCCTAGCCATATGCTACTTGCTTACTCACTGATGACCTGCTTCCCCACCAGACCCTAAGTCCTGGGCACCAGGGATCACATCTTATCCTGTTTACTTCTTGGGCCTAACTGACTATGGGTATGAAAAGTCTTTGAAAGAAAAACATGAAACAGAAATAACTATGTAAAATAATCCTGGACTGATTTCAATTCCCCTTTGCCATGAATAAATAAGCATTTAATACAAGCTTCAGCTCAAGTTCTTTCATGCACAGCCCCTCCTCTTTCCCACATGTATGGAATTTAAGAGACACGGCAAGCTGACAAGCATGTCCAACCCGCAGCCTCTGGCCATATGCAGACCCAGGTGGCTAGTAATGTGGCCCCAACAGGACTGTAAACGTTTAACACTATTATGGGACCTTTAGTGTTATTTTTCATGATTCAGCTGCACAGCACTGGAGCACAGACTGTGTAGGGAACAACAGAACACTGCAGGAGGAACAGAAACCCATAGCCCATGCACTTATGTGACTCCACCAGGAGACACAGCCCTTGCCTGTAACAGTATCTCTGCCTCCCTGTGCATATCCACCTGTGAAGACAGACGTTTGCTGTTCTGAAGAAGTCATGTAAGTTTCCTTATCTAATTATCAAACTTGGGTTAGTTATGTCTTAAGTTAAAATAATTTTTTACTAGCTGTGATACAGGAAATACAAAATGCCTTCAAATGTTTTCAAATAGATTTTTGCTCAGTACATTGTTGAATTTATGTACAGAACATTGCTGATGCTAGTAAAATAAATTATTACTTTTTGGAATATTCAGGATTGCAATCAGACATTCAACTCAAAAGAAAAATTTGATCATGGCTCTTCACTAGACTTTTTTGTTTTTTTGAGACAGGTTCTTCCTTTGTAGTTCAGGCTGGCCTTGCAGTGATCCTCCTGCCTCAGCCTCCCCAGTGCTGGGATTACAGTATGCACCATAATGCCCAGCTCCTTCACTAGACTTTTATTAAGACACATCTTCCCAAAGAAAACTATCCCTTGCTTCACAATCACACCTGATTGCTATCATCACTTTTTGCAGTACGTAAGTTTGTGAACGACTGTTTAAGAATGAAACACACAAAGTAAAATTAGGTCAAAAATTTCTGATGAGCCCAACCCAGCCACCATCGCTCAAGCGCCGGGAAGAAGCCTGGGCCCCGATCCACCGCAGGAAGGAGAACCACGCCTGCTCCCGACCCAGCCGCCATGGCTCAAGCGCCTGGGAAGGAAGCCACGCGGGCACCCCTGAACCCCCATAAGCCCCCCTCTCTCCCCTGCACTCTCAGACCTCCTGACTGTGCCAATCTTTGGACCCACTCTGCAAAGACAGAGGTGGTCATCAAGGGTATTTTTCTGAGTTCCCAACTTTGAGAATATATCGCTCTGTCTGAGCCATTAAATGGTAAATACATTATATTGAAATTTTGTTCACTGCAGACATGTTCTGGACTGCTTCTTGATTTCGATTTAATTCAAATGATTTAAGGGTGATAGACTAGTGACTACCACAGGTGGTCAGAGTCCAAGTTGTGCTTGATCTTAACGTGTTGCTGATTGTAACAGTTGGGGTAAACCATTGCGGTTGATTTGATGAGCTGTTTTCTCTGATGTTATGAAGATGAGAATGTCTGTGGGTCATTAGACACACAGAAGCTAGGGCGCAACTACATCAGTAATATTTGGGTGATAATACAGAGATTAAACCAAGGACAGTCCGACAACAAAATTAAAAATGAGAAAATACTTAAGCAAGACACAAGGACAGACTTCCAGTTTACCGATGGCAAACAGTAGAGCAAATGAGGATGAACAGGCTGATAGTGAGCCACCAGGACATACTGAACTCAGAGCACAGGAAGTAACAAAACAGATCAATCAGGCTCTAGAAAAATTCAAAACAGAAATAATTTCCCAGATAACCACAGAGATAGTGAGCAAAATGGAAGTCGCGATTCGAGACTCTAGAGCAGAAACTGAGAAAAAAATAGATGAGCTCAGGACCATGATAGAAGCCATGAAGGCCCAGCATAAGAAAGAAATGGAAAAAATAAACGCCCAACATAGGAAAGAAATGGAATCCATAAAACAGATTCAAACAGATATCCAGGAGATTAAACACTCTATTGAAAGTGTACACAACAGAATAAAAGAATGCGAAGATAGGCTCTCCAGATATAGAAGATAAGATGGCAGTCAGTGACCATGAAAAGAGAGGTCTCTTAAAAGCAGTAAGAGATCATGAGAAATCGATCCAACAATTCCTAGATGATGCAAAGAAGAATAACGTAAGACTGATAGGAATCCATGAAGTAGCAGGAGAAAATACAAATGACTTTAAAAAGCTGTTTGCAGAATTAATGACAGAAAACTTCCCAAACAGAGGAGAAGAATTTGACATTCAGATAACTGAGGCATATAGGACCCCAACTAGCTACAATCAAAAAAAATTACACCTAGACATATAATAATCAAGATCCCAGAAACCCAACAGAAGAACAAAATACTACAAGCAGTAAGAGAAAAGAAACAAATCACATGCAAAGGAAAGCCCATCAGAATCACAGCAGACTTTTCAACACAAACCCTTGGGGCAAGGAGAGCCTGGAATGAGATATTTCAAGTACTAAAAGAGAACAACCTCCAACCTAGACTGATGTATCCAGCAAAACTCTCTTTCAAAATGGA